TGTGGGAAAACACTTATGATTAGGTTAATTTATGTTATATTTTCCCCTCAACTTGTAAAAGATTAATCAACCATTTTATGGTCTAATTTAGGTGCCTAATTAAAAACAGAGTTCAACACATGCTGCACTGTCTTGCTAATAAATCTTGACAGCTTTGTAACATGATGGTTTGTATTTCAAATTGTTGCACAGAAATATAGATTTTTGGTCCTCACCTAGCAGCTTGGAAGCAAGTTAATATATTTGCTTTAAACTCCAGGATTATGTGTAATTATTTCAAAAGGGATTGTCCCCATCAGATTTTTATCTTATATTTCCCTTAGTGAAGACACAGTCTTTGCTGCTGGATTTTTAGAAATAGGTGAAGAAAATGGGGGGGGGGGGATAATTTCCCAGCATTTGTTAAATTAAAAGTACAGAGGAAAGTTGCTATTTTCAACTATTAGTTCAAGTGAGCGATTTCTGAGGTGACTGGATTTTAGAATATAATTCTAAAGAAATTTCTGCAAAGTGTAGTTATAAATGTCTTCCTGTTAATAAGTGCAAGCTAAGTATTGAGTCTTGATTTGAGCACTGTATTTTTTAAAATGAATAAATTCATTCCAAGAAGTTTTGAAACATTTCACTTAACCCTATCTCCTCCCACCTTCCAGCCTTTAAAAGTACAAATGGAAGAGAATAAATTTGCTCCTCAGTAGGGACCTTCACTATATTTTCTCAACCTTTATACTTGAGGGTTACTTTTTGTCATTTTAATGACCCCTTTGATTCTTAATGTCCTGTGCAGAGAAATTAAACTGCCACAATGATATAATTATCCTCATTCTACTTATAAACCAAATTTGGATTTAGTAGCCTGCTCTGGAGTTGATATTCTTTTTAAGTGAATGACAAAGTAAGCAGTGTATATTGAGGTCTACAGAAAACTGTCACACTCTTTTAAAGCAATTCCAGTTTTGAACTCCTCATATATGCCTAACATCACAGTTTTGGTCACTTCACGGAGGGAGCATAGCACAGGAGTGGAGCTGCCTGGGTTGGTAAATTAGCTTATCACTTCCTAACTATGACACTTGGGCAAGTTACTTAACCTCTCTGTGCCTGTGTTTCCTCAGGTTTAAAGTACCTACTTCACAGGGTTGTAATGAGGATTAAATTTGTTAATCCTGTAAAACTTGAAATAGTGACTGGAAGGCAGGGAACACACTCAACAGCTACAATCATTATTAACCCCCCTCCTCTCTCTCTCTCACACACACACTGCACGTTGTTTAATGTGGTCACAGTGTTAAAGTGTCAGCTAATTATGTACAACCAAAAATGGAAAGAGACACAATGGGAAAGAAAAGGTCTGCCAAAGTCTAACACATATTTCTCTATAAAAAAAATAATAATCAGAAAATATTTGGCTAACATGAGTCCCAAACTGAGGTCATTAAAATGAATCAAAATATGTTATTTTGAAACATACCACTACCTAAAGTTAAGACAAACCAAAAAGAGAAACTTATTAAAGAATATATATATATATATATTTCACTTTACATCATTCAAATTTAAAATCAATATTCAGACCCCAAATAAACGGGGTCAATGCTTTCTCCACCATCACTTATGTGAAGCTCTGTTTAACCACAGACCCAAATTTCTCAAAGAGCAGAGTAACAGAGGTAAAGGCCAGTTCCACCAGATCATCCCACTGTGCCACTCCACGGGGTCCCCATCAACACCTGCTAAATTTGGGAGGCCTGATTCCAGTGAGGTGGATAATGAACTGAAAATGTAAACCCAGAAGAGTCTTAATCCCAAACTAAAATAAACTCAGGGTCCAGGGCAGATGGATAGCACATACCAGTGCATTTGTTTTTTTGCAGCCGGTTAAGGAGGCAGAAAAGCTCCCAGTCTTTGGCTGTAGTGGGCTCTGTCCCACAACGACACCCCCCACCTCCGGCTTGGCGTTGGTTCTCTTTATGCCAAGTGGAAGGAAGTACAATCAAATGTCCAGGCTTCATGCAAATCCACCAACCCTGGGCCACTGGTTAGTCCACTTCTACCCCTTAACGATTTTAGCACTGGAGTTCCTCAGACACCGCCCAGGCCTCATTCTCAAATAAATTTCAATGCTATTCCTAGTGCGCCACCATCCATGCATGGAGTTTCTGACCTAAATGCCTGCAAACCGTCTCCCATCACTCATTATTTTCCTAGTTTTAAAGACTTGTTTAACGACGTTTCCGAACTGCAACTCTCTCTGGTTAATAATTATTTATACTCTTTTCCCCTCGGCTTCTGTATGCACAGACCAAGCAGGGTACCACCGTGCACAACTCTGGAGAGGGCAGCAGGGCTTGGCCTGGCGGTAAGAACTCTAGCGCCCGCGCAGGCAGCTCGTTGGGCGGACCCCGGGCAGTGTAATTGCACTTTGGGCCAGAGGTCTCCGCCGGTGAGGTCTATGTAGAGTGAAAACGGCCGCCTCCAAAATAACTGTTAAGTTCACACGTGTGCCCAGACATCGGATTATTCTTATCTTTTGAAATATTAATTAAGCAGTTGTTATTTAAAAGGGTCCCCCCCCCCCCGCCTTAATAGCATCCACTAGCCCTGCAGGCATGCCCGACCCCGCTGTGGCAACCTGGGGAAAGCTGAGTTTGGGACAAGTTGCCGCGTTTGCAGCTTGCTGGGTAGGGTCATGGCCGCAGTTCCTGTGCTTTTCTCCCCGGCAGTTCTGCCGGCGAGTTTGGGAAGCTGACTTGGGGGGCGGAGGTAGGAGGAGATGATGAACCTCCCGCCTCCCGGAGTCAGGTCAAGCCCATGAGCCCCAGCCGCCAGACGTCTGTCCAGCCCGTAGCTCCCCGGGCTGTGCTTTCCGCAACAGACTCGCGTCGAGGGTTTCCTGAGCGACTTCGGTCTTTAATCGGTATTTTTTTTTTTTTTTTTAGCCAATCAAAAGAAACGTGGCAGGTGGCGGACAGCCGTCGGTGAGACTGCAGGAATGAATCTTCCTGTGGAGATTTCCACAGACCGCCCCAGGGGCTTCTAAAACTGCTTAATATCAAGGGTTTAGGTATTTTCCTGCCAGTTCCTCCCAACCCAGCCACGAATGATTTCTGAAAATCTCGGTGCCTCGGGCGCTGGAGGGCTATACTTGGAAGGGCGCTAGTTATAGCCTGCCATCCAGCACCGGAATCGTCATCAATCCCAGGTGGAGGAGGGTTGGTAGTGGAAAAACTTAAAAAAAAAAAAAAAAAGTAACGACACAATAGATAACAGTAACAATGAAAGGGGACCCTCATGCGTCCAGCACCTGACTAGTACCGCGCATTTACATCTTCTGCCTTATGTCCAATGCATAGATGTGAGCACTGAGCCTCCATGGACCCAGCGAATGGCCCGAGGCCGGACTTGAATCCGGGGGTCGCACTCCAAAGGCCCCATCCTTAACATCTGGCGTCTGTGGCCCAGTAGCAGTGGCTCGCTAAACCTGGAGACTTGGACAATTCCTGACAATAATAATAATAAAAGGGAAAAAAAAATCATTAAAGACAAAGGAGAGGAGGGAGGGTGAGGTTGGGATGGGCGCGGTTTTAATTCGCTGGCTCTACGTTTGGATCCTTTCATCTTCCATTCTCTCTCCTTCTCCAAAGGAGGGCGGGACAGGGAGTGGGGTTCGGTTCGATTCTACCCTTTCGTTTTCCAAAGTCCGGATACTCTTTGGGCTAACTGGGCCTGGAGAAGTATTGGGACCGAGGGCTAGCCCAATAGCGTGCCCCTAAGACCAGTAAGTAGCTACAGGAGGCTGTGGGCAGGATCGTGATTATGACCCCTGGACCACTGTCCCTTTGGAACTGTACCTTCGACGCTGCGCGAGAATAGAGTTTACCGAAACCGAGATCTGGAGCAACCTACGTTTCTCAATAAATGGACCCCGAATATTCTTTGCGCAGCAAAGGGCAAAAGGACCCTGCGAGTACGCGTTCCTGTCTACTCTCTCCCAGCATCCCTGAGGAGGAAAGAGTAAACCCGCGGACACCAAGTAGCCCAGGCATTGCCAGCCTTCCAAGATGCGCGCGGCTCCTGGCGACTGCAGTGCGCGCCTCTGCCCGACAGGGACCAGCACCGCTCCATGCGCCGCGCGCTGCCAGGCTGAGGCGTCAGGCCGCCAGCCCCGCTCAACCTCCCGAGCTCAAGCAGCTCGTAAGCGGAGTAGTCCTGACTGCCTTCGGGTTCCCGCAATACCGAGGACAATCACAAAAAAGTTAAAACACTCCCAGCGGTCTCGGAAGAACGCCGTTCTTCCCACCCTGGCGCCCACATGGGGAGCAGAAAAGCTGTTCTAGAAGTTGGTCTAGGACGCAGACCGGACCACCGGGGCGCCCGGGCCTCCGAGAGGGAAAATAACGTAAGAGCAACACTAGATTGATTCATATAGGACACGGCCACAGTTACTGGGTCGCTTCCTTGAGCTCAAGGCGCTCGGGTGGCACAGTAGTTAAAGCATTCAGCTGGTAATGTAAAGGTCGGAGGTTCAAACCCACCAGCCGCTCCGCGGGAGAAAGCTGAGGCAGTCTGCTTCCGTGAAGATGTACTACAGACTTGAAAACCCTATGGGGCAGTTCTACTTTGTCCTATAGGGTCATTATGAGTCGGAATCGACTGGATGGCAGTGGGTGAGCGGCTGCCTCAATCGCTGCCCCGCTTCTTTGCGGCAAGGTCGCCTGATTAACTTTAGGGCTCGGTTGGCCACTGAGCCGCCAGCGCTCTGAGAGTTCTAGGGGTTGTAACCCGGTGCACTCTAGACTGCACAGGGCAGATTCTCGAGCTGCGGAACCTCGCCGTGCGGTGGTTACCTCTGCTCCTCCCCGCCCCTGGTAGCCCTAAACTGTGCCCCTGACACTTTTCCAGCACATGCCACGTCTCCCTCTTCCACCGGCTGGCGAAAGGGCTGAGCGGTGCCTTGCCGGATAGCCTTTGGCGCCCCTGCCCCACGTGGGGAAACTCACCGATACCAGGCGAGGCCCTTGTCATAGCTTCGGTCGAAGAAGTGGGGCTCAGCGCCCACGGCTCGCACGTCGGGGTGCACGCGTAAGAACTCGAGCAGCGCTCGTGTGCCACCCTTCTTCACGCCGATGATGATGGCCTGTGGCAACTGTTTGCTCCCAGCCCCGCTGAAGAAGCTGGAGATGGGGCTAGGGGAGTCTGGAGCCTCGGGACTCTGCTCCTCCTGGCTCGCGCCCCCCTCCGCCACCTCCTTGCCAGTACCTAGTTGTGTGGAAGGCGGCGCCCTGAATGATAGCCTGGGGGGCGTCCGGTCGGGAGCCGAGATCATAACTGGCGAGGAGCGGGTGGCGCGAGACCCGGAACCCAGCACCAGCAGCCCGGGTGCGGCGGCGCACGAGCGGGCGCACGAGTACAGGAACATATAGAGCCAGACGCAGAGCATGGCGAAGAGCAGCGCGAGCTTCCTCCTCACCGGCGGCGGGGACGGCGGCGGCTGCGGCAGTAGCCGGCCGGGTACATCGAGGCAGGACCGGCCGCCGCTCAGGCGCTGCCCCATACGCTGCCCGCGGGCGCGGCGAAGGGCATGGTTCAGCACATGGCGCGGGGTCCACGGGGCAGTAAGCGTGGAGAGGGTTTCCTGGGCAGCTGGGCGCCCAAGCGGCTTGGCTTATTGCCCCCGTACGCCCGCGGCAGCCGCCGCTGCTGCTGCTTTTCTCCAGGTGGCGGCGGCAGCTGTAGCGGCGGCGGCTCTTGACATGTTGCCTGGGGAGGAGCCGCAACTGCAACAGAAAGTCGGGCGGCCGCAACTGCTGGCCGAGGGGCTGCTCCTGAGGCGCGACGCCCCGCTTCGGGCCGGGAGAAGGCTGCGCTTCGGTGCCCTGACCACTCCACACGCTAAGCAGGGCAGCTCTCCTGGGCTGCCTTCTCACAATCCTGTCTTGAAGGCAGTCCCTGCACTTGCCTGTGAAGGCTGCGGAGAAGAACTGCGCAGGAAGGGAGCCCAGGACTGAGGTGAGGTGGGCGGGACCGGCTTTCTAGAGTGACAGCTCGCTCCACCTACCAGAAACCCCGAACACCATGCAAATACGGGCGCTTCGCCGAGGGCTCAACAACCAATCGGCTCCGGCATCATGGGGGTGTGGAAAGGATTTGGGGCCGTGGAGAGCAGTAGGGCATTCCTATTGGTCGCGGGAAGAGGGATAGGCTCAAGGGGGCGAAGTCAGATACTGGTGACAGCAGCAGATGATAGGATGGATGCAGGAGTGACCGATCTCCGGGGGAGGTTCGACTCCGCGGAGTGCTGAGCTCCAGCACCCGCGTGCATTTCCGCACTCGCTCCCCAGGAGCCAGCCTTTCTGTAGGGCCCAGATGTCAGGACTAGAGTCTCCCATCCCGATATTTCGCGGGCTGACTTGTGATGAATAGTATTGCGGAGTGGGGAGAGGGAGGAGGGAAAGCCAGGCGGTAGTTGCAAGCTGCCCACAAATCCGCCCAGCCCGAGCCAAGAATTTCGAAGTGAGCCCTTCCGGGACTGGTATTGGCTTAAGAAACTTAGGAAAAAACATGTTTGGAAATCGCTTTTTTTTTTTTTTTTCTTAGCCTTTTCTTCTTATTCTTCGCCAGGAATTGATGATCTCCCTTGAGCTGCTGGTTAATTGGGGTCAGCCTAAACCCCCCTTAAGAAAAATCTTCGTTGGCAGCCCAAGCTACCCAGAAAAGGTCTGGGGGCATGTAGGAGGGAGGAGGGAGGAAGATGTTAACAGGGAAATCGAGTCTGGTAAATGTTTCCTCGTTTAAAAGTGAATGTGAAAGTCACATGTAGAAAGTTTCATTCAGATTGGGGTTTTGTGGGGGAAAGTGAAATTTAAGAAATTTTACTATGTTCCTTCTTCCCTAAAAAAATAATAAAGCCAACATTTTTCTTTATTTTAGGAAATTTCTTCACTTAGGAAAGTTTGTTTTGGTGATCTATATGACATTATTAGGTGTTTTCCACCAACTTTTTTTTTTTTAATCTTTTTTTCACCTGGAGCAAATCGATTACTGAGTTGTACATATTTAATAATCAAAGTCCACTGGAAGGTGAGGTGGTACCCTGCTCTGTCTTGCAAAAAGAACCGCCGGGACGGGGGCGGGACAGCAGGTCTTGGGAAGAATTGTAACTGCTTGCAGGGGCGAAGCGGGTGGAGACGCCATCCTGCAGAATTCTTGCCTGGGCATCTGGAGTTAGGAAGGTCGGGGTTCTCAAGCTCACGCCCGTGGTGTTCAGAAAGTTTTCGGTGCCTGCTACGCGGCCTCAGTGGCGCGAGCGAGCCTCCAACGCCCTGCTGCTCACCGTTCTGGTACAGAGCGTTCCTTCCGACTCCTTCCCACCATCTGCTATTGCTTCGACCCGGAGGACCTGCGTCGCCCACGAGGTGACTCACCGGGAGCCGCTGCCTGCGCAGGATTTCACCTTCTGGGCAGGCAGGCGCAGTGGAATAGATCTGAGCCCTGGTCCCTCTACTGTGCTCTCCGGAACCAGCCCGAGTAAATATTCCCTTCCTGAGCAAATGTCTCTAAGTGTCCTCCAAATCCCCTCAGCCCCACGCCGGGTCGGGTTCTCCTCCAACCGAAGCAGGCTGAAAAAGCTAGTCTGCCTTTAGCGCCTGAGATCTGATAAAGTGAGAGAGGGCGGGGGCAATGACCCGGAAAAGTGCAAAAAACTCATCCTCAACCCGGCAACCGACTTAGCCTGGCAGTGGTCCGCGCGGCCTCATTCTAACTCGCTTGAGCCCAAGTTTTGTAAGTTTCGCTACAAAACTGTTGAGAGGGGAATGATTTAGACAGCAGATTTTCTTCCCCCTTTTCTATTCGCTGGAAGAATTTCTTTCCAGTCACACCCCCCCACACACACACACACACACTGGGATGTTGTGCTTATTCTTCGGAAGTGACTTATCTACGCTTAATTTTATTTATTTATTTTAAAAACCTGAAAACAAATGCATATGTGAGCACTAGCCCGGTCTTTTTTGGAAATATGAGGGGGCAATGTTAGCGTCTCAGTAGGGTGTGTCTTTAAATTCATGATATATAGGGGGGATATGAAATTACTCTCTGCCATCTTTAGGTGGTTATGAGTTTGCAGACTTTTGTGGATTGTGTGTGTTTTACGATTTGTGTATGTTCAAGTGAGTTGTAGCTACTAAGTATCTAGTATCAGGACTGGTAGGCTGTGAGTCTTAGTTTTTTGGTTTTTTTTTTTTTTTTTTAAGGTTTTCGATATTCCTAGTAAAAATGGTCTCTGTCCTGAGGGTTAGAGAAGTCCAGGGTGAAAGAAAAAAGTGAGCGATTGTAAATCGAGGTCGCCAGATTTATTTGGGATCTTATTTTTCTGTGGGTGGGGGGAAAAGGAGTAGAAGCAAAGGCGTGAGCATCGGAAACTGCCCTAGGTGCCCGCAGAGCTGAGCGCTCCACAGCCAAGACGCCTCCATCGCCGCCCGGCCCCATCCGGTGCCCATTCAAACCCCCTGGTGGTAAACAATGGGGGAGCTCGAGTTGCCAGGAGTACGGAAAGGTTCGGCCTCCCAAAGTCAACCGATCATTTGGGATCTGGGGAGCGACCCGGCGGGCGGGGAAGCGGCATAGGGGAAGGGTCCGGGCCGCGACCCTAAGTTTTGGCCCTTTCGCTCACCCATCTGGTGTGTTCGCAGTGTTTTGATGCCCCAGGCTGCGTTCAGAAATTGCCCCTCGCGGCAGCTTTGGGGTCGGCCCTTGGCAAAAGTCATCTCTTCTGTCCGCCCATTCTGCAGATGTGGAATCCGAGGCTCAACAAAGCTAGTGGCAAAACTGATGGTGAACTCACATTGAGAGCCACCCTTAACCATTGTTAAGCGGCGCAGCCTGGGCATCCTCAAAACGTGGCCACCAAAACCCAAGAAAGGTTTACCTCTGAGGAATGTATTCACTATATTTATACTTGGAAAGTCTAGAAAGGAGCAAATTCAATGTCAGCACGTGTCCAAGGTCTATGTTTCATTTGGTTTGGGCTTTTGGATTACCTAATTGGGGCGGGGGGTGCGGTGTCTCAGTGCAGTGGTATTAGGCATTAAGCATTAGGCATCCAAAGGTCGGCGGTTTGAACCCACCAGCTTCTCCATGGGAGAAAGATGAGAAACTCTACAAAACAAACAAACAAAAAAAAAAAACCTAAACCCACTGCCGTCAAGTAGATTGCGAGTCGTAGAGACTCTTCCTTGGGTTTCCGAAGGGGTATCACTACGGAAGTAGATTGCCCAACCTTCCTTCCGAAGAATGGCTGGTGGGTTTGAATCGCCAGTCTTCTGGTTAGCAGTCAAATGCCTTAGGCGCTACGCCACCACAGCTCCCAAGAAACCCTATAGATAGTTCTACTAGGTCCTATAGGGTCCTATAGGAATCGACTTGATGGCAGTGAGTTTGGTTTAGTTTTTAAATGAGAGTGTGCAATAAGAGCCTCTGAGGGTTCTAACCTGAAGGTGGAAGTCAAGGCTAGCTCAGTGGACCTCTCTTTACCCTCTTCCTCCAGGCTCTTTTGCCAAGGCCTCGCGGTATGACCACAGTCTGGTCACTCTCTGGCCCTAAAATTCCTCATCTGTAATGTGGCGGGCTTGAACTAAAATATACCCCCGTATTTATGTCCCTCCAGAAATGTCCCCGCAGCTGCAGGACTCCTCTTCCCCAACCCACCCCCGCCAGCTCCGCCGGGTGACCTGCAGTTTCCCGGGTCCAAGTCCCACCTCTACCCCTGAAGGAACTGCAAAGGAGGCATTACCTAGGCGGCCTTTGCCTTTGGCCCGAAGCCAGTTTCTGCCCCCGGAACTCCTGCACTCCACTCGCGCCCCCGCCGGCGAGGCGGCCCCTCGGGGGTTCGCAGCTGCGTGCTCTGCATTCCAGCTCCGCGGAAGGTAAGAGCGGTAGGCGCAGCAGCGGCTCCCTGCCCATCAGTGTTGGGGCTCTCTGGCCGGGTCTCGAGGCGGCCAGCGTCAGAAGCCCAGCTAGGGGCTGCCATGGCCAACCTGTCTCCCTAGTCGCAGAGAGGGGCTTTGGGCTGCACCTGGGCTCGAGAGCCCTTGCGCGGCCCGCGACTCGCGGGTCTCTTGCCTGCCGGAATGAATATCCCTTTTCCTCTGAGGGGCGACGGCGCCTCTCAGTGCTCGGGGAGGCCCTGGCCGGACACCCGCATCTACTCAGTTCCTCGCGCGGCTGCAGCTGGCCTCACCTATTCATTGTTGGTATGGCTGGAGAGCCACACCGGGAGGAAAGAAATTACTGTCAGCTTTGATCGGTGCCTGCGCTGTAGGGACTTGCACCAGCCAGGCACTGTTGGACCTGCCACTGTGACGCTGGGGCTTAATGCTGAGCCCTTCGCAAACCTCACTGGAGGGATGATGGACGTTTGATGCCCAGATTAATTTGGTCATTTGTGTCATGAGGAGTTAAGGCACATGTCCGGATCCAAATCCATCCTCCACCTCTGGGCCAGGAGGTTTCGTTGCCCTCTGGCCAATGGAACAGGGAATGGGAAGGGGGAAACTGAGGTAGAAGCCCCAGGCTTCTTCTTACCTGTGTCGTCAAGGGCTGGCTGCTTCCCTCCTCTGAGATCACAGCTCCGGTCAGGAACCTTCTCTACACAGCCTTACTGTCACCAGGTTCTGGTACAACTATTCCCCTCACCCCTTCAGGAACATTAAAGACAGATCCCCTATATTAGTGCCAAGGAAAGTACTGTGTTATTCCTTGCTTGTTCTTTATTCCTCCAACTTGAAAGTAGCCCTTTGGTTATACTCTTCTCAAATTACCTCA